TTATAAACTAACAAATTTTTTACTTAAGATTACATATATTTATAACGTTCCGCAATTATCTAATTTTTTTCTAATATGATTTATACAATGTGGTACACGAACCGCCCAGAGTGGTTGAAGAAAAAATAATTAATTTATTACTTAGTATCTATAGCGAATAACGCAATAAAGGCAATATTTACAGAACTGCTAATTAATTTGCAAACAATTTGCAGTGGTTTCAATATTCTCAGATCAATATCTTACAAGAAAAATGTATTTTTCTACTTTCTCGCGGCGTAAAAAGTTTTTGATTTTTTATGAATAAAGCTATAAACTGACAATTTTTTTACTTGAGATTACAAATCTTACTAACAATTACGCAATTATCAAATTTTTTCCGATACGATTTATACAAATTATTCGCGAACATCGTGCAGCTATTCATAGATATCGTAGACAGAGAATCCTATCTCTGTCTACGCTATATATATACATCTATGCTTTATGTTACCCAAAGAGTACAATATTATATAGGGAAAATGTTACCTCTACTCGCCATACTGCTCCATACCGTAGAAAGAGAATTCTCTGTCTACGCTCCACTCCATAATACTCCATAATAAAAGTAAAAATCGATGAAATTATCTGAATCTGATCTCTTTCTCTCGGTTCGGTTAAAAAATAAAATTGACATTTGATTTGCCATAAACGTGATATTATGGAGTATGGAGTGGAGTGTAGAAGTAAGGAGTACAAACTCCCATAGTAGAATAGTAGAAAAAGTGTCCATCTTTAAGCAGTAAATAACAGTTCAAAAACTCTCCACAACAGCGCTGGAGTAGCTACTGGGATGAAATGAACTTAGCAGTTGTCGACGGTTTTGAAGTTTGCTGCTAAACTGCTCAGTAGCTCTAAAATCTAAAATAATTTTATTTAGTAAATATAACCTCGAAGTAAGTCGTCTATCCCATTAATATTTTTCGGCACGTTCTTTAAAATTTAGCCCATAGCTATAGTGGTGCCACCCTTATTTAACGGTTTTCTATGGACACTTTTTAATACACAGTCAGTACTCCTTACTTCTAGCCGTGTAGTGGCGGTTGAGAATATCCACTACCCCATATCTTCCCATGGGTGTCGTAAGAGGCGACAGAGGGACACAGAAAGGAGATGGGCAGCAGCATCTTCTTAATAATAACAATAACATAATGAAAAACTGCGGTTGCCAACCCGCTCGCCAAGCGTGGCAACTATGGCAAATATCCCCCCATGAGCAACGACACAAATAAACGGCCCCCAGTCCCCGGCGGCCCCGCTATTCCTGGCTACGGTGGCGACCATGGTAACGGCGGGGCAGGGGGTGCTAAGAATCTCCGGTGGAGGTTCGGTTGCCACCTACGACGACTCGACCTGGCAACGTATAACGCACGCACCCTGAGGACTGACGAGAAGATACTGGAGCTGGAAGAAGAGGTAGACAAGTTGCGCTGGCATATTATTGGATTATCTGAGGTCCGAAGAGAAGGGGAGGACACGGTAATCCTCGAGTCCGGCAACTTGTTCTATCACCGGGAGGGCGACAATCTGTCCCAAGGAGGTGTCGGATTTGTCGTCCACAAGTCTCTCGTCAACAACGTTGTAAAGATTGGGAGTGTGTCGACGAGGGTCGCGTACCTGATACTCAGAATCACCAAACGGTATTCGCTGGTCATACAGGTCTACGCACCAACCTCAGCACATCCCGATGAGGAGGTGGAGGAAATGTATGAGGATATTTCTAGAGCCATGCATTCCTCCAAAACCCACTACACGGTGTTGATGGGAGACTTCAACGCAAAACTAGGCACAAGAGAAGGCGGTGAGCTGAAGTTAGGGAAATTTGGAGTAGGACAACGGAACCGTAGGGGCCAGCAGCTGGCTGACTTTATGAAGAAAGAGGGAGTCTTAATGATGAACTCTTTCTTCCAGAAGCGGCCCCCCAGGAAGTGGACCTGGTGGAGCCCCGACGGTTCGACAAAAAATGAGATTGACTTCATTATGACGACCAGACGCCAACTGTTCAGTGATGTCTCAGTGATCGCAAGGGTGAAAACCGGCAGCGATCACCGAATGGTTAGAGGCACACTGAACTTAAACGTTAAGTTGGAGAGGTCTCGTCTAATGAAGTCAACGCTCCGTCCCCCTCGTGCTCTGATCTAGAATCCCGAGACTTTTCAGCTCGAGTCACGTAACCGCTTTCAGTGCCTAGAAGATTGCAATGCAGTGGACGATATGAATGACAAGCTCGTGGAAACTGTCCATGCGGTCGGAGCTAAGTTCTGCAAGACTCGCCGCAGAAGAACACAAAAACTCTCCGATCACACTCTTAATCTCATGGCTGTTAGACGGGAGATGAGGCTGCAATCGTCAACAGATTTGACAGCATACAGGCAACTGAACAGATAGATCTCCAAATGCATGCGGCAAGACTTACGCAACTTTAATACTGCTCGTATTAAAGAAGCGATCGAGCGGAACCAGGGCTCCAAAGTCTTTGCCAGAGATCTGTCTGCCAGAAAGTGCCAACTGTCAAAGCTGAAGACTGAGTGTGGCAGCATCGTTTCCAGGAAATCTGAGATTTTGAGTGAGATTGAGAGGTTCTATGGGCAGCTGTACACATCATCGTTGGAGCCACACGCAAGTGTGAGTAACGATCCAAGAGCAAGTCTTACCCGACACTATTCCGATGATATCCAGGACGTCAGTCTGAGCGAGATTAGAATGGCTCTCCAGCACCTTAAAAAGGCGAGGACCCCAGGCGAGGATGGAATTACAGCAGAGCTTCTGAAAGCGGGTGGAACACCGGTACTTGAAATCCTTCAGAGGCTCTTCAATTCCGTCCTCCATGGTGGCACTACTCCGGAGGCGTGGAGCAGAAGTGCGGTGGTCTTGTTCTTTAAGAAAGGCGACAACGCTCTCTTGAAGAACTACAGACCGATTTCCCTTCTGAGCCGCGTCTACGTGCTGTTTTCGAGAGTCATTACGAATCGTCTCGCACGCAGACTCGACGACTTCCAGCCTCCCGAACAAGCCGGTTTCCGAAAAGGCTTCAGTACCATAGACCACATACATTCCCTGCGGCAGATTGTACAGAAGACCGAGGAGTACAATCTGCCACTTTGCCTGGCGTATGTGGACTATGAGAAAGCCTTTGATTCCGTCGAAATTTGGGCGGTGCTACAGTCCCTTCAGCGGTGCCAAGTTGACTGCCGGTATATCGAAGTGCTGAAGTGTTTGTACAGTAGGGCTACGATGGCTATCCGAGTACAGAACCAGAGTTCGAAACCTATCCAACTGCAGAGAGGTGTAAGATAGGGTGACGTTTTATCCCCGAAACTCTTTACCGCTGCGTTGGAAGACGTTTTCAAGCTACTGGACTGGAAAGGATACGGTATTAACATCAATGGCGAGTACATCACTCACCTTCGATTTGGCGACGATATAGTCCTTATGGCAGAATCGCTGGAGGACCTTAGCACTATGCTCAATGACCTCAATGGTGTCTCCCAACGGATAGGTCTTAAGATGAACATGGACAAAACAAAGATTATGTTCAATGTCCATGTCACACCTATGCCGGTAGTTGTGGGGAGCACTATGCTCGAAGTTGTTGACGAGTACGTTTAGTACGAGTACGTTGGAACAAATAGTCCGACTAGATAAGTCCAACTTCGACCGAGAGGTCAATCGACGGATTCAACTCGGCTGGGCAGCGTTCGGGAAATTACGACACATCTCGTCAGGTATACCTCAATCTCTGAAAACTAAAGTGTACAACCAGTGCGTGTTGCCAGTGATGACTTACGGATCAGAGACGTGGTCCTTCACTGCTGGCCGTATGAGGACGCTCAAGGTCGCTCAGCGAGCTATGGAGAGGGCTATGCTTGGAGTTTCTCTGCGTGATAGACTCAGAAATGAGGATATCCGCAGTAAACCAGAGTGACCGACATAGCCCAACGGATTAGTAAGCTGAAGTGGCAATGGGCCGGCCATATAGCTCGAAGAACCGATAACGGGGAAGAAAGGTTCTCGAGTGGCAGCCTCGTACCGGTAGGCGTAGTGTAGGGAGACCCCCCACTAGATGGAGTGACGACCTGTTAAGACGTGCAGGAAGTCGATGGATGCAGGTGGCTCAGGACCGTGCTTTGTGGCGTTTCTTGGGGGAGGCCTATGTTCAGCAGTGGACTCGTGAAGGGCTGTAATGATGATGATGATGATGACTCCTTACTTCTACACTCCACTCCATATTCCATTGGGTATGTTCCGAAATACAACGCAGTGGACTGTCCAATGCAAATGACGTATCATTTGACACTTTATTGTACTAGCGTGCCGCCGCCATATTGTGTCGGATATCCGGCCATAATAAAACAATTTTTAATTGTGTGTTTGCCGAATGAAGCATGCCAGAATTTGTTTCTATTTATTCAAATACAAAAAATTATAGAATAATTGATGGTATATCTATTAGGAGGATATAATGATTTTTGAACACTTTACCAAATGCGCAAAAGTATGACGTCATATACTGTCCAATGTTTTGGAATGAATCACCAGTATAGCGTCGATTCAAGACGTCATTTGCATTGGACAGTACCGTAGACAGTAGCATTCTCTGTCTACGGCTTGCTATATATTTATTTATCTATGATAGGATACTGTTGCTTGTAAATTGTAATTAGATTTTGGTCTTTATGTTTTTGTGAAATAAAGTGAATTTGACGGCCGTGTCGTGTGTGAGATTCTAAATAAAAACATTGTGACATTTTATCATGTAAGTGATGAGTTGTACCGAAAATGAAAGTGGCCCTTTTGTCGTATTCTTCCTACCAGCTGTTGTCGGCTGCCTGACCATACTTTTGGCTAGGCGCTGGGCTAATTCACAAGTTAGCAGCACATCGTCCACAGCTGTTTCTAGACGACGGAAAATAATTAAAGATCCGCTTATTAAGCGGCCGTTACCGCCGATTGCTTGTAAAATGGTTCCACCGGGGACAAAAAAAACTATTGGAGTTCCCAAGAAGGTTTGTATCTGTTAGAACAGAATAATTTTTTATTCAATATAGATTACGTGGGATTCTTACACTTTACACTGGTTCGAAAAAAACCTCTGTCCTGGACAGAACTAGCAAGAAACCCAGTGGGACTTTTTTTTAAAATAAATTTTACAATGTAAGTGGTTACAAAATTTATTTTAGAAACAGCTTGGAAGCGACTACCTGATTCCCGGGGGTTATTATCAACCATGTATTCATTAATATTATACCTAAAAACCCTTTTTATAGTTTTTGTTTTAGGTTGAAATTTAGAATCGTTTGGCTGGAATTTGGGGTAGTAAGGTGTTTTATTTGGTAGAGCTTTGGTCCCCGATTATAATAATACCACTCCCATTAAAAGGTAATTCACCGTTCTTAAGAAAAATCAAAAAGAAAATCCCATAGAACTAACCTCAAAATCATAACTCAAAATGAATTAAGGGGATGGGAGGTAGTGGAAAGGGAGGCGGGGGAGTTGTAGAGTCGCCCCCCACTTCCACATTCTGCCGGACATGCTTAGCTTTTTTTTTTAAATTTAAAACCTAATTTTGAGGTTATGTTTTTGTAATGTTTTTGACTATTATCCTGATTTATGGGGGGAGACAGTTGGAGGAGGGAAGCACCTCGTAGCGATGTCAAAGGAGGGCCGGTCGACGGAGCCCCGCTTTGCGGGGCTTCTACTTCTGAGTGGTTTACAAGCAAATAACCACGAAGGGAATGGCGAGATCTATTCGCTCGCTTTGCTTGCTCACTTGACCCCGCTATCCCCTTCTAACCTAACCTGTCCGAGTTGGGGTGCCCTAAGTCCCGCTCGCTTTGCTCGCTCTTGCACTCAACAAAACACCAAAATATTAGCTTTTATAAATACTTTAAATTATTAACATAATATATAATACAATAATAACCACACTACGGCTCACACAGGTGCCTGCGATTTGCTACAACGGGCGGGGGCTGCTCTCCCTCCGCACCTATGGCTTTACAAAAACACTTTAGGAGTAGGGCAGACAAGACTAAGTGGATTCGGGGCGTGCTGATTTAATTTTAGTACAGGTTCAATCAGTTCAGATATCTATAGTCAGGTTGCCTTTCTCCCGCCACAGACACAAAATTCTGTATGCTATCCAGCTTTCACAGTAATATTGTATAATTTTTTCTCAAAAAGACCCAGAGCCGTAAATTCAGTTAATAATAAATAATGTATCACTTTTCATACTTTACATATTTAAGGTTATAATAGTTATTATTTATTTTTTCGATAACAGTGCATTACCTTTTAATGTGAGTGGTATTATTATAATCGGGGACCAAACCTCTACCAAATAAAACACCTTACTCCCCCAAATTCCTGCCAAATGATTCTAAATCCAACCCATTTAAACTTGATAATATGCAATACGTAAAACCTTGTATATGTTCTGGTTATATTTAAACTAGAGTTGGGCCGATTAGTACTTTGGCCGATTAGCCGATTAATCGGTCATTTCTTAACCGATCCAGCCGATTCCATTCCAATGATAAATTCAAATGGTGGAACAAAAATTCTTCCAGATATCCTGAAATGTCCTGTTTAGCCAAAGTTTTCCTTTACTGCCCCGCCAGCTCTGTGTATAGTGAGAGACTTTTTTCTGAGGCAGGGAATATCTAGTATCTACGAAACAAAAATAAATCGACTTCAACCAGAAAAGGCTGGGATTTTGGCCTTTTTGTATTACAATTTGCTACTGGTTAAAAATAACAAATAAATTAATTATTTTCTAAAAAGCCTTCAATACTTTTTCAAAAACTTTTTCTGAAATTATTAAAATAAAAAGCCGATTAATCGGCTTCACTGATTAGTCGGCGGCTAATCGGCCCTACTCTAATTTAAACCCTATGAATAAAATTATATATACAGACTTTATTGCATTTAATGCTTACTAGTGAGACAACGACTACTACTTTTACAAATACGAATACGAATATCAAACCTACTATTCGGCAAATACGAATACGAATATCTCATCATGATACTGAAAAACTTTTTTTACTACTAATTTATTTGATGATGTTCCATTAAGTAAAACTTCTAATAATTAAAATTTACAACAGGCAAATTTTTATTTAAAAAACATTAAATTTGTAGATTTTCTGGTGTTAGGCGTGTTTCTTTCATCAGTCTGTATGTTCCCAGCCATCAAAAACAAGCCTTTCCGAGGCTATTGTACATGGTTTCCGTGAAAAATATTTTTGGGCGAGTTTTTTCAGCCTTGAAAAATGGACATCATCTCGCTTAATAATAGGCAATGGATCAGAGGTAAGATTTAAGACTTCGTATTATTGGGGTTGCTTGAGATAATGTCGTTGATTCTTTGTTTAGCTTTTTAGTAGCTTCTTCAAAATTGGCCGGAACATCAATAATTTGGCTCGTAAGAGCCCATTGCCTTGCTGTGATTTCATGACAACAATGTTGTAGAGATTACAATCTCTTGACACAAACTCAAAACATCTTGAATCGCTATGCATTGTTCATGTAACCTCTTCAATATCTGATATGCTGAATCCTATCTAGTTTCAACATCTTAAAACAAAACATGTTTAGGCATATTGTTAGCTTGTTGATAATCTTTCAGTTGTTTGAGTGTTAAAATGAGTAATAACTCCCCTGCCCTTATGTAGCCGTCGTTGCAGCTAAGGTCCTATGCAAACGTCGAGTTGCATACAAAAATATTACTTTTAAATATTTGTGATCAGTATTCGCCGAATACAAATATTCGGTAAATGTCTACTATTCGGTGAATATGAATATTCGTATTTGTTGCATCATTATTTCGCACCATGAGGCAAAGAGGAAAAGAAGCGGCTCCGAGTTCCCGGTGCCCCTTTAATGTGGCAGGGGTGCGAAGAATCTCCGGGAGGAAAACCGGCGACGAGTTTCGCCATCCGTCATGTTCTGTCTCCCGGAGGGGCGAAAAGAGGATTGCGGAGGCCCGTCTAGCTACGCGGTATGTGTGTGGAGCAATGAATGATAAGATGGAAAAAGTATGCAATATGATGTATGATAGAGGAATAGATGTGTTATGTGTAAATGAGACGAAGCGGAAGGGAAAGGATGTCACTACCCATGGCATATATACCGCGTACTGTTTGGTGTAGACGAGACTGAGCGGGCATGCCAGGGAGTCGGTATCATCCTTTCAGAAAGAATGGGTCAATGTGTGAAAGAGTATGAATGTGAAAGCCCGAGATTGCTATGGATACGAATAAAAGTGGGCCTAAAGAAGTTGTTTGTTCTAGGGGTCTACGCCCCAGACATGTCTAAGCCCACTTATATCCGAGAGCAGTTTTGGGAGATGGTAAGGATGGTGTTAATGAAATGTAAGGAAAATGAAAATATTGTTATGTTAGGAGATTTTAATGGAAGGGTTGGCGTGAGGAGGCTTGGTTATGAAAGGATACTGGGAACACCACAACTTGGTCTTATGCCGAATTAGGGGTTTATTCAGACGTTGGCGGCATCGGACATCTGTGTCTACCACTGGGTTACACCACAAATGTAGACTGAGAGAAAATATAAGTAATTTGGATGAGTTGTGTGTGAATGAGTTAGACTTGGTGAATGTGTGGCATAATGTTAAGAAAGGTTTAGTGGATGCAGCTACCGAAGTATGTGGTGTCAGTAAGAGAATGAATGAAAGGAAAGACAATACGTTATGGTGGGATGATGAGGTACGTATGGAAGTTGAAGGAAAGAAGAGAGCATGGCTGGATTTACTAGTAACCAAAGCTGGTAATTAGATTGAAAGGAGAAAGGCAGAGTTTAAATGTCTAAATAAGAGAGTAAAAGAATTAGTTGAAAGGAAAAAGCAAGAAAGAATGGATAAGAATGATAGAAGAATATTGGATAACTTCCAGGCAAATATTAAAATGTTCTGGAAACTCGTAAGAAATACCAGGGGACATTCAAAATAGCCTGGATTGAATGCGATACGAGACGAGAATAGCTGTATTCTGAATGATGAAGTGGTGAGTCTAAAGAGATGGAAGGAATACTTTGAAAGCGTATTTATGAGTGAGGAGACATGTGAACTAAATGAAATAGAAATTCCGAAAGAAGATGAAAGAGATAGGGAGATAAGTATAGATGAAATAATGAAAGCAATGAAAAGCATGAAAGTAGGTAAGGCAGCCGCATAAGAGTTTCACTCGAAATGCTAAGGGCTGGAGAGGAAGTGGTGGCAGGACTGCTGTACAGCTTGTTCAATTTATGTTGGGAACTAAAGCGGGTACCGGGAGACTGGTGCAAAGCCGTCATAGTCCCAATATATAAGGGAAAAGGGTCACAGTAGGACTGTAAAAACTACCATGGTATCAGCATTCTTAGCATTGTGGGAAAACTGTATGCTAAGTTACTATTTGAAAGAGTTATGAAAGAAACTGATGAAAAAATTTGGGATGTGTAAGTGAGATTTAGAAAGGGAATGGTCAAGGTCAAGTATTTTCCATGCGCATGATCGCGGAGAAGGTTTTGGCGAAAAACCAAAATTTTTTTGTGCGTTCATGGACTTTGAATAGGCTTATGACAGAGAGGACAGGGATGTGTTATGGCAAACGCTGAACTCGTTTAGGTTGAGCTCTGATTTAATACAGGCATTAAAGTCTGTACAGGGACTCAAGTGCTTGTTTTAGGGTCAACGGGGCCTACTCGGACCGGTTTGGCTTCCATAAAGGTGTCAGACAGGGCTGTGTAGCTTCCCCGTGGCTGTTCAACCTATTTATGGACAGTTGTTTGGAAAATTTGAAAGTTGAAGAATCCGGGTTAAGAATGGGTGAGTTAACTATCAAATGCATTTTGTACGCCGATGATCAAGTTCTCGGCGGCCGAGTTGCAAATGATGGTTACATTAATGAAAATGTCATTAAAAGAAAGGGGAATGAAAGTGAACGCAAGTAAGACGAAAGTAATGGTTTTTGAAAGAGAAGAAAGCAAAACGGTATGTGAAATAAGAATAGAAGGAGAGTTAATTGAGCAAGTGGATGAGTTCGTATATTTGGGATGTGTATTCAGCAGGGATGGTAGATATGATAAGGATATTAAACGACGAGTAAATGCAGGAAATAAAGTAAATGGGGCTCTACACTCTATTGTGAAAAGTCAGAATGTGTCAAAAAAGGCACGTATGGCAATACACAATGTTTTATTAGTCCCTACTTTAACGTATGGTAGTGAAAGTTGGGTGTGGCAGAAGAAGCACGAAAGTAGAATAAATGCAGTAGAAATGCGGTCGCTAAGGAGTATGTTAGGGCTGAATCTGAGTGACAGGGTGAGAAACTGTGTGATAAAAGAAGAGTGTGGTTTGCAAGATGATGCGGCGAACAGGATTAAGAAAGGAATGCTTTGGTGGTTTGGTCATGTAGGAAGAATGAATGAGGAAAAGACTGACAAAGTAAATATATGTTGGAGAAGTGAATGGAAGAGTTGAAAACGGACATCCTAGGCGAAAGTTTGTCGACCAAATTGGAGAGATACTCAAAATGGGCCAAATTAAGAGTACCCTTAACCGACGAGCATGTATGTGTAGGTATATGGATGTGGAAGAGGCGAGAGAGTAGTCTGTAGTCTCTGCCTACCCCTCTGGGTGACAGGCGTGAGTGTTTATGTAATGCTTACACATGTTAAGGGTGCTTTACAGCACCCATGCTCACAGGGGGGCTGAGATGTTTTACGTCCCCATGACAAAGTTAGGCCAGTTACCTTCAGTTTTTTAATATAAATTTTTGGTCCAATCTACGTAAAACAAGCTTACGGTATCTTAAAGTTTTTTAATATAAATCTTTGGTCCAATCTATGCAAAATAAGCTTTCTGTATCTTAAAGTTTTGCAGTGGTATGCTTGAATAATAAACATCAAGATTTTTGAATGTCAAGCAGATGGCAGCATTTTTCTTATAGTATAAGGATGACAAACAGGCACACAGTTCTTCTGATGGTAAGTGGTTGCAGTGGCTCATAGACATCTAAATCTATCCTCGATTACAAATCAAAATGCAGATGTGTTGCCACTCGTTAAGACTAGGATGGAATGCCTAGTTTTTAGTAAAAAGGGTCACTGGTTTTCTATTCACCATACGAAACACTGCTTTATTTGCATTAAGCTGCTATTTTACACTGGTATTCTGTGAGAGTGTGGTCCTTCCTTTGAAACAAAGATTCACTCGTGGTAACTAACTGTGATGGATGATGGTGATATGGTATTGTGATGGCCAATAGTGTTATCAGGATTTCGAATGACTAAAACATCTAGTAAGGCTAAAGAATTATTTGCCTCTAACTCCATTGTAAATTGTACTGTAGTTTAGAGTTTACAGAGTTAAGGTGATCTGAAAGTGCAGTTACTCTCTCAGATGGTAAAATTGTAAAAGTGTCAAATTAAATCTCTACATGAATTTGATAGCACCATCATGTGCCAAACCACTGAGGTTGTATGGGTTACCGAAGATACACAAACCAAATGCTCCACTACATCCCATAGTGAGCCAAATCATTCACCAACCTAGAAGTTGGATCAATGCATGACAAAAATACTGTCACCACTGAGAGGACATACCAGAGCATGCAAAGGATTCATACCATTTTGTTAGTGAGATAAAAGACCTATATCTCGCTGACAATGAAACTATGGTCAGTGTTGATGTTCAGTCACTATTTACATGCCTACCTATTGATGACTGCATCTCAATTGTAACCAGGAAGTTAGAAGAAAACAACATGCCTGAAGAATATGCAACATTACTCAAACACTGCATCACATCTGGCTATATATATAACACTATACACACTGTGTATAGGAATAAGACCTATACCAACCGATATTTAAACGGTGAATCTCACCATCACAGTTAAATACTGTGAGTAAATCTTTGTTTTAGAGTGCACAAGGAATCCATAACAGACAACATCAAGCCACCAAGTTTCAGCATGGCAAGCAAGTATTGCAAGATGTAATATGCTTCGAGTCCCGCACCTATGACACAGTGACTGAGTGAAGCTGACCACAGTTGAGCATGTTCCTGCTGTACTACCATAATATGTCAAAGGAGTCACAGACAAGGTTGGATACATCTTGAAGTGAGCTTCCATTAAAACATACTACAAGCCGCCGAAGAAGGTTAATCAATTTTTACCATCCATCAAGTATAATATTATAAGTCAGATTGTGAATATGGTTTCTTTTACATAAGACAAAACAATCTATAAAAACCTGCATGGAAGTACATATAGCTTACACTCCAGGAAGTCTGCAGTCTGTTAAGATGTACAAGATCGTCCCCACCATTACATCAGATTTGATAAACTATAACCCTTTTTACTGGAAATGAGGCAATCCATCTTAGTCCTCAAGGGTGTCAACACATCCGCATTTTGATTTGTAATCGAGGATAGATGTAAATATCTATGGGCTGCAGCAACCACTTACCATCAGGTGGTCTGTGTGCTGATTTGTCACCCTATCCTATAGAAAAATCTTTGCAAAAGAATACCGATTCCCACTAAGGATGACATGTGAGGCTATTGAAATTAAAAAAAACATCCTAATTTCAATATAGAAGATGGATGGATGCTGCCATCTGCTTGGGATCCTATAATTAACAAAATTAGATTCAAACCCAAGTATACCACTATAAGACCACAATAATATAACTTTAAGCTTGTATTACGTAGATTGGACCAAAAGTTTATATTAAATAACTGAAGGTAACTGTGGTAACTATGACATTGGGATGTCAAATATCTCAGTCCCCCCAGTGACCATGAATGCTGTAAAGCACCCGAATCATCAGGAATTAAAAATAAGTTATTTAAATATGATAAAGTCCATATAAACAATTTTATTCAGTGCATAGTGTTGACGTAAATATAAGAAATAATTATATTTAAACCCGTATCAAAGTTGACACCCAAAACTGCCATAATATCTCTTGTTAAAAAACTGTCTTAAAACTTTTGGCTTTTCATCTCAGATACCTGTAGAGATAATTAAACATCGACTCAAACTTTCACTTTTTATCCAAAGTAGAGGCATTTTGAAATATTTTAAGGCCCAAAATGCTAACACGACTACAGTTTTTTTAAAATTTAGCTCATTAAAGTGACATTTGCAATACGCCTTATATGAAGTGGGTATATGTTGGTTTACCTGCACTACTACCTATGCTACTGTTATTGGCTATGTTTCAATAGTATTTGTAAATTAAACACTTAAACGTAAAAATAAGATTATTGACATATCTCAGGGGGAAGCGGGAGTACCAGGTAGTGGCTTGTGGTGGCTGTGTAAGTATATCCACTGCCCCATATTATCCCATGGGTGTTGTTAGAGGTGACAGAGGGAAACATATCAAGAGATGGGCAGCAGCGTCTTCATAATAATGACAAAAAATAAATAACTGCAGTTGCCAACCCCCTTGCCTACCGTGGCTACTTTGGGAAATATCCCCCTATAAAGCAATCTATGGGGAAAGCCTATGTTCAGGTACGTTGTTGTAGGTTTGGATTCATCCCTTCCGCAAAATAAATACTAATTTGTTTGTTGTGTTCTATTATTACAGGGACCAGTGTCTTTACCAGAAGAGGATATGAATGGAGGTGGGAAACGAGTGAGTCGTACTGCTCGTTTATCACCAACTGCAACACCATCATCAACTATGGGCACAACAGACATCAAATTATCTGATAGTCTGCTACCGCCCAAACATATACCATTTCCATACATCCCGCAAGATGGGGAACTGTTATTTGAGTTTATGACTTTTATCTTCACGCTTGTGGCGGCTGGATTACAGTTTCTTAATTTATATAGGACAGTGTGGTGGTTACCACACTCTTATACTAACCAAGCTATGGTAAGATCTTACACATATCACTTTAAATACTTTTAATATAAAGCTTGGTTATTTTTATTTGAAAAAATCATTGTAATTTGCAAAATATTTAACGTAATCAGAAATTTTTGTGACTCTTTTCAGAATTTTTATCTGATAGATCCTCATCTGGTGGCATTTATAGTGACTATTATTGGCAGAAGGCTGCTCTTTAGCATTACTTTGGCCATATTAAGATATTTTCTCCCTCCTAAACTAATGCCGCATGCAACGATTGCTGCCCGGTAAGAAAAATTTTATTATGGAATTTTTTGTTATGAGAAGAAATGTAGGTAGTCTGTTTAATACATTAAAATTGAACCTTGAAAAGTAAAAGACGAGTTCATAGAAATAAAAAGATTAAAATCATTTCCACACAATAGTCTCTTAAGCCGGTGTTTAGACAAAGTTGGACATAGTAGTGTGAGTGAGTGAGCGTGTACACCCGCTGATTGTGTTTGTGTATTAAGCAAGAAATTTTATGAATAGGTTTTTAAGCATCGATTGTCAATATACTATACCATATACCAATTGCAGCTCAGGAAGGTATGGCCTATGAAAAATTTATGAAATCATCATCACATATTCCCCAGTTTCCTCATCCAAAATCCGACCCATATTTTTTTTCTAAGACAAGAATTTTGTGTTATAGTTTGTGCCAAATCGATTGAGAAAAACGGACAATGACCTCAGATATGAGCCGAGTGTCAAAAGGCGTAACTTACAAAATCTCAATTTAGATGTGATAACAATATTTAAATATTGATATTATTCACACTTCTAGGTCAGCACATATGTTTTTTTTTTGTTTCTTAAATAATATTGTTTGTGATTTCTATAAACATCGTAAAATCTTACGGTACATCGCGAAAAATGTATTATATTTTATATTTCAATTTATGGTAAAAACGCAGCAATTTATTTAATAATAGTTTGATATTAAAAAAATATAAAAAAATATTTATAGAAGCAATATAATCACCATATTGAGCTTTTGTAAATTTATCCCTTTAAAATAAACAAAGCGCGCGTTACGTCAGTTCATTCTAAAAGAAACGTGACAATGGCAGCCAGAGATGCGTCACTTTTTTGGGGCCGGTCCGCATGCACCGATTAAAAATAAAGTTCTTATATAATACTGAAAACAAATTTTTACCTTTTGAATAAGTACGTACTTATTAGGTGTCGTTATCACTCGAATCTTTATATGTATTATAAATTAATGCTTTTTGTTGTTAAATGAATAAAGTACTTTATAACAATAGATGATTTTTCTTCTACAGCGTTCTTTTACATAACTTTTTAATAATAGTTAATAAATATATATTATATCAATCATTATTAAAAAAAATAAAGAAAAAATAATTATAAATAAAGTACTACATATAAAAAGTGCCTATATATTGAAGGTTTGTAGCCCCTGGTTAAACGACCGAAAGGTCATTGTTCGTTTTCCCAATCGATTTGGCACATACTATAGTAAAATTTCTTTGCTGTATGTATAATGGTAGCGGTATAAATGGGCAGTTTTATTAATTTCAGAAGGTTTTAGTCTTTAAAATAAATTTTATTTAAAAAAAGAAAATGTTGTAACATGCATTAATTGATATATTGCAAAATAATATAATATTTGCAGTATTGTTATTGTATCAAAAAAAAAAAAAACAGAGGTAAATCTATGCATTTTTTTCACTTACACTGATGTGACCAATAAACTTACAATCCATCCGATGTTGACTAGTACAGTCTATAGACACCTGCAGCTAACTTCAAATAAAGAAGGCGACAGATGTGTTGTCACCTCTGCAGACAAATGGAATGCCTCACATTCTATAATTACACTCTTTACACTCTTTGGACCAAAACAGCAGTGCAATCTCTTCTATTTGACAGCAGAAATAGTTAAAGAGTGGTACCTACACAGACAAACTAGCACACCCTGGACACTCCATACAATGCTCGCAAATTAATTATTACCTATTAGTAGTACTACGTAGGCAAATGTCGTTTGTACACGCGCAAATGTTTGCGTGAAATTTAGTAGGGAAGTGCGCCGGCCGAATTTAAATTTAAATTGTAAAATCGTGTGTTCGCGTCGGGGTCGTACGATCTCGTTCAAGTGTCAGTGTTGTATACAACAATTTGATCATGACAATTTTATTGCCCATAATTTACTCTCTGTTCTACCCAAGGTTAGCTTAGAGAATGCCATATAGCATTAAGCTCGCTTTTTGTACAAAATTATTGGTGCAATAAAGAATAAAATAAATAAATAAATACAATGAAGTCCGGGGTGGGGTGCGGTATTTGAAATTAGTGCGAGGAGTTCAGTGGCTGTTCTGTATGTAGTACTATTATGTATTCTGTAACATGGAATAAATGCAGCCCAAATATCTAATGACATGGAAAATTTATGTATTATATTTCCTTGAAGCAGGAAGTCAGAAGTAGACCATACAAACATATTGTTCTGTTTTCTCCCTGGACATACCTATATCTACCACTGCCATGTTTTCTTATTTTCTGCAAATGAGTATTAAAAAATTAGAAAGTTAGAACTATTTAAAATTACTAAAATTTCCCAATTATATTAATATTATCTGTCATCTAGCAAACAAATTCAATGAACATGATATGTAAACGAAAGAAAAATACAATAGTTATAAGAAATGAATGAAAAACATAATAGAAAGAAAAAAGGGAAGAATTTGCTCAGCTTCCTTTTTAACCTTATTTTATTTGATTTGACTATTTATGTGTTATTATAAGACTAAATTATAGCTGCTCAAAGAAAAATAGTCTGCTTGTGCTTGAGGCTGGTCCAACAAGGTGTTCTGCAGTAGGGCATGTTCAATTGTGATGCAATAATACACCCTCTGCTGTGTTCCGGTATGAATAATAAGTTAGCCAGTTAAAATAATTTTTAGCCCTTAGGGTCGTAAAAGTCTTTGTTTGAAGTTGTTTTCCAGTTCAACAGCTAAGTCTTCTTAACCAGGACGGACATAACTACATCGACAATGAAACTGTAGTCATCATATTTAAATTTACCTCATTATTTTCAGGATGTTCATACTTGGTGTTATTTTGGGTGCTCTTGCATGGTGTACATACTTCATAATGCTTAAATATCTACTCAGTGGGATATTTTACCTCTGTTACCCGTAAGTAATATTATGTCCAGTTTAAAATACACTTCAGCGTATTAAACTTTGTTTTTATTGTGCTTCTTTGGATATTCGCCGTGTAGTAACGGCGTAAGAGAATCTACTAAGCCATATCATCCCATAGGGGTCGTAAGAGATGTCATAGAGAAAGAAACTAGGAAATGGGCAGCAGTATCTTCCTGATAATTAACTCATCATAATAAAAAAGTTTGTTTACCAACCCGTCTGCCAAGCTTGGTAATTATCGCAGTCATATGAAAAAATTTATGGGGGAGGCCTATGTTGAGAGTGGAGCTATCAAAGTCCAGTCTGGTCCACTAGGTGGTGATGATGATGTTGGTTATTGCTAAACTTGGGGTCATGCAACAGTATGGGCACTGCTGCATTCTGATCTGAAAAGTATAGCGCCAGTTTATATTACAGGATGTGAGGCATACCAGTTTAGTCCTCAGAAGTGATAACATAGGCTTCAGACATAGTACATTAATTCTTAAAAAATACTGCTGGTTAAAATAACAATGTTTGCCAGTTCTTTGTATCAAGTGCCATGGATGATTGTAGACGTTACATACTCGCATTATGTTTTACACTGATTAATACTTTTACAGAGTTGCGGTATACATCACATTGTTTGGATTTCAATCAAGTCCTTTCCTAGAATTAGACAATGAGACTCCGCCTTTGCACTGCTGCTCCCATGATCCACAGCACGCACGCAACGAAGCTGACACGCTAACGGCTGATTTCAATCTGAGACTGAAAAAAATATTATTTAATTCTGTGCTTGGCGCATATTACACAAGTTTTGTTCCTTGTTGTTTTGCACCGGTGAGTTTTTATTATTATTATTTACATATAAGATCCTCTAAGTGGATTGTGAAGATTTCCGAATTTTGTACACCGTGTTGGTAATTTTATAGGAAAAACAATCTAAAAATATTAAAAAAAATTGAAATGTTGCAATACTTTTTCATTATTTTTCTTATGCTGTTGTTACGACTTCGTCGATCACTACACCATACAAATGCATATTTTATTTGTACTTTTTATTTATAATCTTTTATCAGTGATCTATGTAATTAGAACACTAGCTCACCTAACTCAAGAATAAATGGTCCTTCGAGCCGAGTTTGAACTCGCGACCTATGGATATTATGACATATATATGGTAGTATATGTATATAGTGCATATATAGTATAGTATATGTCTAACAGGTCTTTCTCTCCTGAGAGAATTGAGTGTACAAAATTTGCACGTCCTCAATATATTCTCTTAATTTTTTTAACTGGTATTTTTCCATAGAAAATGAGCTCACTGCTATAACAGGAATTCTTTTAACTGATCCTTTTGTTATTTAACAAAGTATCATCTCTTTTTATTTTCATACTTTACATTGTATTTGATTCATGTTATATTTGGTAGAGCTACAATTATTTTAGTAACATAGAACATGTTAAATATGAAATCATTATTTTAAACTATGTTGGTGATACTCAATAAATTTATAAACGTGTTCGTCGGTGAAGGAAAACATCACAAAAATCAGCACCTAAAATTGTAATTTCAGCGGTGTTGGCAGGGATTGAACTTTGGTTACTTATACTATGAAATTTTATGATGAGTGCTTTTGTTGTTGTGTTGTTTTTGTGTTCATACCGAAGAGCAAATAGAAAGATCACCATAATTCCTTCATCTCTTTTACACCATTAGACTTGGAAAGGGTTAACCTATATCTTAGTGGCTTGCAAAGCGTTTTCGATTTTAAAATATTAGCGTAAACAGTTTTTCGGCTGTAAATAGTTGCACATGTATGTTTATCTGTTGATATTAATATGGTGCTTGCTTGAATGAAAGATCATTCTGACAAACGTGTGGCTTATTACAATAGAAATAGGTAGTTTTTTATAATAAATTAGCTGTTTTTTAGACGTATCTATACTACGATGTGTACGCGGCGTCCCAGCAAGTGGGCCTAGTGTGGGGAGCGCTGTACGGACGCTACGCGGCGCAGCTGCTGTCCGCCGCCTACTGTGACGTGTTGCACCGCTCCGCGCTGCACCTCGGCATCTGGCGCGTGGCACCGCCCCCGCCCGGTACGTACTTCTACTGAACGTGTCGCACGCCCGGTACGTACTTGTACTGCGACGTGTTGCACCGCTCCGCGCTGCACCCCGGCATCTGCGCCCTACCCGTACGTGGCACCCCGCCCCTGACCCGGAGTACGTACTTCTACTGAACGTGTCGCACGCCCGGTACGTACTTGTACTGCGACGTGTTGCACCGCTCCGCGCTGCACCCCGGCATCTGGCGCGTGGCACCGCCCCCGCCCGGTACGTACTTCTACTGAACGTGTCGCACGCCCGGTACGTACTTGTACTGCGACGTTCACGCCCCTGTCTGCGACGTGTTGCACCGCTCCGAGCTGCACCTCGGCATCTGGCGCGTGGCACCGCCCCCGCCCGGTACGTACTTCTACTGAACGTGTCGCACGCCCGGTACGTACTTGTACTGCGACGTGTTGCACCGCTCCGCGCTGCACCCCGGCATCTGGCGCGTGGCACCGCCCCCGCCCGGACCTCAACTCACGCCCGGTACGTACTTCTACTGAACGTGTCGCACGCCCGGGACGTACTTGTACTGCGACGTGTTGCACCGCTCCGCGCTGCACCTCGGCATCTGGCGCGTGGCACCTCCCCCGCCCGGTACGTACTTCTGCTGAACGTGTCTCACGCCCGGTACGTACTTCTACTGAACGTGTCGCACGCCCGGTACGTACTTGTACTGCGACGTGTTGCACCGCTCCCGCGCTGCACCTCGGCATCTGGCGCGTGGCACCGCCCCCGCCCGGTACGTACTTCTACTGAACGTGTCGCACGCCCGGTACGTACTTCTACTGAACGTGTCGCACGCCCGGTACGTACTTGTACTGCGACGTGTTGCACCGCTCCGCGCTGCACCTCGGCATCTGGCGCGTGGCACCGCCCCCGCCCGGTACGTACTTCTACTGAACGTGTCTCACGCCCGGTACGTACTTCTACTGAACGTGTCGCACGCCCGGGACGTACTTGTACTGCGACGTGTTGCACCGCTCCGCGCTGCACCTCGGCATCTGGTGCGTGGCACCGCCCCCGCCCGGTACGTACTTCTGAACGTGTCTGACGCCCGGTACGTACTTCTACTGAACGTGTCGCACGCCCGGTACGTACTTGTACTGCGACGTGTTGCACCGCTCCGCGCTGCACCTCGGCATCTGGCGCGTGGCACCGCCCCCGCCCGGTACGTACTTCTGCTGAACGTGTCTGACGCCCGGTACGTACTTCTACTGAACGTGTCGCACGCCCGGGACGTACTTGTACTGCGACGTGTTGCACCGCTCCGCGCTGCACCTCGGCATCTGGTGCGTGGCACCGCCCCCGCCCGGTACGTACTTCTGCTGAACGTGTCTGACGCCCGGTACGTACTTCTACTGAACGTGTCGCACGCCCGGTACGCTACTTGTACTGCGACGTGTTGCACCGCTCCGCGCTGCACCTCGGCATCTGGCGCGTGGCACCGCCCCCGCCCGGTACGTACTTCTGCTGAACGTGTCTGACGCCCGGTACGTACTTCTACTGAACGTGTCGCACGCCCGGTACGTACTTGTACTGCGACGTGTTGCACCGCTCCGCGCTGCACCTCGGCATCTGGCGCGTGGCACCGCCCCCGCCCGGTACGTACTTCTACTGAACGTGTCTGACGCCCGGTACGTACTTCTACTGAACGTGTCGCACGCCCGGTACGTACTTGTACTGCGACGTGTTGCACCGCTCCGCGCTGCACCTCGGCATCTGGCGCGTGGCACCGCCCCCGCCCGGTACGTACTTCTGCTGAACGTGTCTCACGCCCGGTACGTACTTCTACTGAACGTGTCGCACGCCCGGTACGTACTTGTACTGCGACGTGTTGCACCGCTCCGCGCTGCACCTCGGCATCTGGCGCGTGGCACCGCCCCCGCCCGGTACGTACTTCTACTGAACGTGTCGCACGCCCGGTACGTACTTCTACTGAACGTGTCCCACGCCCGGTACGTACTTGTACTGCGACGTGTTGCACCGCTTCGCGCTGCACCTCGGCATCTAACGCGTCCGCCCGGACACCGCTTCCGCCCGGTATGTACTTATAATGTACGTGTCGCAATGATTTCTGTATTTGGCCGACCACATTTTAATAACTAAGAAATTATGCATATGCATTTTGTTTGTCCCAGTTTAGATCGAATTCAGCTCGCGTACTGTGAAATTTACAGCGAGCACCTTTTTTTACATGGGGAAATGCCTACGCATACCCGCCTCGCGGGGGCAAGGACGGGTTATGTCGGACTCGCACTGACTATAACCCCATGGTGTTCCACCTTCACATCGCATATTGGCAGGGCCACGGGAACGCTTTCGCACACATCCGCGGCCCCACCAGCGCCGGCCGCCCCATGGCGGCACCTCATCGGAAGAGGACTACTCTCCCCTTTCTCCTTCTCAAGTAAGGCGCATCAGAACACAACAACCAGAACGAACGCAACAGAAGCCCGCGTGTCCGATGCGCGAAGGCCATGGGGCCAGGAAAAACGAGCACTCAGAAGCACTTGCCTTCCTGACCCCAGCGGCAGATCTGGTCTATGGCTCCTCCGCCAACCAAGATTCGGCTGCGGAGGGTAGGGAGAGCGGCGCTTCGCGATACCGACACTCCCCCTCCCCCCGCAGCCCCACCACCACCGCATCAACGGTGCGGCCTCGTTTGAGTCGCGGAGGATAGGGCGAGTGGCGCATCGCCATACCAACACTCCTCTTCCTCCGCGACTTTACCTCTGCTGCAGCGGTAGGGGTTGAGGACACCCCTCTCGCCGAAGTGGGCTCGCCAAACCCACTCGGAGTGGCCACCTTGGGCCAGCCATGTGGGTTCCTCTTTGTTCACCGCGGGTGATCAAGCCACGGCTACTAAGCCCCCCCCCCCCCCCCGCCTCGACAAGGCGAGAACCCGTTCGGGGGGGGGGGATAGCGAGCACCCTGGGCCTACCACAGCTTTAAGGGCAAACATGGTTGGTCGTTTTACGTTTTAGAGCCTTGAAGCAGCTATAAACAGTTGTAGCGTGAATAAGTCGGCTCGAGCGGGGAAGGACCATGATCTCACAGAATACCGGTGTAAAATAAAATGTAGTTAGTAGTGTAATAAGTAATTGTGTAAAGTAAAATAGTAGCTCAATGCTGCTGCATTTTATATGGTGAGTATACAGAACTGGAGACCCTTTTTACGGGAAACGAGGCATGTCATCTTCTAATCCTTAGAGTTGGCGACGCATCTCATATCATATTTTAACTCTTAATCAAGGCTAAATGTAGAAGTTTATGGGCCATAGCCCTTTATTTATACCCTTATTCTATGAAAAAGACGTAATATTTGCGATCGTAGTTTTATAACTCAGCTAATGTGTAAATAATTTACAGAATGTGTCTGTGTGAATAATTTAGAGAAAAGACCTGTGTAACTGACACTGATGTGAATTCGCAGTTATAATCTATATTGAATAAAAAAGTTTCTGTTTCTGTTTACCGTGTTGTGGCGGTGTAAGGATATTCACTACCCCATATAGTCCTGTGGGAGTCGTAAGAGGCGACAGTGGGAAACCAATCAGGAGATGAGCAGCAGCGTCTTCCTAATGACCTAATAAGGGACATAAATAGCGACAGTAGCCTAATGGCAGGGCGTGGACTGCGAACCCAAAAAAGGCTCGACCTTTTGCCATGGTTCGAATCCGCCATTCGACTACTGGCGTGAACCACTCGTAACACAAGCAATTTAAGCTTACCACGAGTGGTTAAGAGGAATATTAGTAATGTTTATAGCATTGTTAATATTCTTTAAAAAAAATAAGACTAAAAGATACTGCCGTTGCCAACCTGCTTACAGGCAGTCACGGTAATAAATGTAATTAATTGCAGTAGTAGAAGGCAGTGTAACGTGGTCTGGTTCCCGCTGGTGGGGCTTCGGAGCGCGGGTTAGTCTGGACGGCGTGGAGTACGTGGCGCACGCGCACTATGTGTCAGCCCGCCCGGGTAACAAGCACCAAGCTAGGTTTTATGTGAGTTGGAATTTATTTTGTTTATTAACGGTTTCGTTTGGATCTAATGTGGCGTTTTTTTAAATTTAAGACAGTCATCAAAGACCATCTTATTTTATTAATTTTCTCGATTTCTCAAAAAAAAATTAGAGTTTTTCTGGTAAAATATAGCCTAGATCACTCCTGGCATTCCCCTTTATCTGTTCGTTAAGTTTCATTACAATTGGTTCTGCCATTGCAAAGATTAGCTCGGACAAACAGACTAAAGTTTTAAAAATATTAGTTATTCATGTCTTAACGACTGAAACACCCCCCATATCTCCTTGATCCTATTTTTTTATTTTATTTAACTGGCTTTACGGCTCTGGGTTCTTCTTCATCATCATTTCATTCAGTCTTCATTTTATATATTTTTATTCACGATATGCTGAGGCGTCACATTGCGAAGTTTTTGGGAGATTTCGACAGCTCAACCCAGCGGACTGTTGATGACGACAGCCACTCAAGTTCATAAGGCGCCCAAGCGATTAAATTGACTTGAGGTTTATATCAACATCGAAGCATTTGTTTCGTCGTTTTCTCTAATAGTTAACACGCGCAGACACTTAATTCACAAAATCGCATCACTTACGAATTAAAACACACTTCGACCCATTATTCAAGCGACAAACAGGAGCGACAAATTATCGCCGACAATCCGTCAACGACCAAGTTCCCGCCAAAACTCCTTGATCCTAGTTATTTCGATAGTACAGATAATTACTTAAATTTTATTTGTATAGATTTTATTTTTCTTTATTGATCATATTATGCTGCCATATGATTGTCTTTCAAAAGTCAGCTCCTGAACCTCGCTTAAGGAATGACACAAAACTGTTCAAAGTTACCTGCATCCATCGAATTCTATGTCTTAAGACACGTTTACTAAATGATCACTTCATCTAATGGTTGTCCGTCCTAAATTCTACTTAAATACGCGGCTAACACCTAAGAACCTTTCTTCCACATCTGTAAGTGATTCTTCGAACTATACGACTATATGGCCAGCTCATTACCATTTTAGTTTACTGATCCGTTAGATATGTGTTGTTTACTAAGACTCTACTGTGGATTATGTCCCCTAGACAGAGTTTAGGTCACAGAGGTCAGATACAATGGATACTATTGCGCAGACTTCGTGACTCCGGTTTGCTTTTACGAATTTTTTGACAGCAAAACCCGTCACTGATTTTAGACTATAATATTTACTGTGTAATGGCAGTGTAAGAATACCCACTATCCTATTATCATCTTGTGGGTGTCGTAAGAGGCGACATAGGAAACAAATCAGATGGGCAGCAGCATCTTCCTAATAATGATTAAAAATAAAAAAACTGCTTTTACCAACCCACAGGCATATGCCCAGAAGTGGACTTTAATAAGCTGTAACGGTAACAGCAGTAAAGTGCGTAAATGTAAACATAGGCCACACAAAATGTATTTTAAAGTTAAATTCAATTAAACGTAACATTGTCTAATGTTTACTTAATATTGTTACTTTCAGGCGGTGTTCATAAATCCACCGACTCTGCTTTGTGTACTCCTCACACTCCAACTGTCGCTAGTCGTGGTACAACTGTGTTTACTCTTCAGCTCCATAGCCTGGCACAACTTCTTATCAATAGTCATTTTACTTTTCATCAATTACTATTCACTGTTCAAGTTAATGCGGGATTACATCGTTGCTTGGAAAGTTTATAAAGCAGAAAATATGATACAGGACAAAAACGGATCTGTTCAACTGGCCACTAATTAGTGATATCCGCCATTTTGAAACTAGCATTTGACGATGCGTGCACAAAAATTCTTTAAAAGCATTTCACTGAGTTTCGCAACGAAATTATCTTGTCTTGCATTGTTTAACTTTAAAAAATATGAATACTTCATTAAATATACACACAGTCCTTTAAACTGCTATTTAACGGTGGTATTCTGTGAATATGTTCCATCCCCGGTCGATCCGACCCATTTGTGTTACAACCATAATATGGCCGCAGCATAACTCAAAGAACGAAGAGAAGAGTGATTTAGCAGCTTATACTGCTGTTTTTGTGACTGTAGAGAACCGGAGACCTTTTTACTAAAAACGAGGCATTTCCTCTTAAAAGGTTTCAGGTTAGGTAAATACTAAGAAAAATAGTAGCCTCAACAGAGTTCAGTTCTTCCCCTTTTAAAAACACTGTGAATGTGTGTGAATTCTTTTTTAACATAATGTTAATAAAATATAACCAGCTTGTATAAAAAATAAAAGTCCTTATGTACTTAGTGTCCCCATTTATATTTCACCAGCAAACATTTCAAAATGATCTTTAAACAAATTAATTACAATTACTCTTTGGCCTTTAAACAGAACAATCGTATATAACTGGTTCCTACAAATTTCCTTACTTAAACTATTGAGTTTAGTTAAAGTTACAGCCTATATACGTCCCACTGCTGGGCACAGGCCTCCCCTCATTTCTGAGAGGGTTTTAGGCCAAGGAAGTGTCCGCCGCGCTGCCCCAACGCGTGTTGGCGAACTTCACATGTCTTCGAAATATTTTTTTTCTTATTCCTCAGACATGCAGGTTTCCTCACGATGTTTTCCTTCACCGCCGAGCACGTGGTAAATCAGCACTTAAAATTGCAATTAACAATTTCATTGGTGCCGGCGGGGATCGAATCCGGTTTGCTCGCGTACTGTGAATTTATAGCGAGCGCTAACCATCTGAGCTACCACGGCTCGGTTTGAGTTTAGTATAAAAACAAAATAAAGTTACGTTTTTGAGCATTCATTTTGATTTTTCTTGTTGGGATGGGCTGCAAGTCTATTAATTAACTATAATATGTCTCAAATTCGCGAAAGCCTGATTTGCAATAATTAAAAAGAGGCGGCAATATTGCGTTCGCGTGGGGAGTCCCTCCTTCAAGGTTTTAATTTAGATTCTGCAGGCTTTTTTTTTAATAGTATAACTTAAAATTATTTATCAAAGAATGAAAAGATGGTGAAACCACATCAAATTACATATACTGGCAGATATGGATAAGTAACTGTCCTATATAGGGGAGGATATCGTATTTTATATAATTTTGACGCACCAAAATGGATACTTCTTGAAATAATTCATGGCCGGGAAAAATATGTGCATATGTGAAATATTCATTTAAATTCTGAACCAATTGGATTTTATATTATCATACATTCCTAAACTCTATTGCGTCATTCAGTGAAATGCATTTTAATATCGATCTGTTTAAATTATAATTGTGTCAATTGTACTTAATGTTTAGAAGTTGCATTCATTATAATTATAAAAATTTGTTTCGAACAAACTCTGGGAAAATTTGCATTGTGTTAAGTTAAGCATTGAAAGTTTATAAGACTGAGGTGTACTAAGCCATTATTTTTGTGTGTGTTTAACTACCTACTCCTTGTATAAGCATTTTTTTTTTGAGAGCGACATAATAATTTAACCTTAAGTGCATGATAAAAACTATTACATTGTGTATCTGATATTATTGTCAAAAAAGTAAAATTAACACTTGCCAACAAATAGTTTATTTATTTATATACATACCACAGATAACAAATTGTATTTACATTGTTTTGGTTGGTTGGAAAAACGTTTCCATCATTATGGCTTACTGATTTTTAGCATTGTATTCATTTAAAAACTTACTCCATTGTAATCTAGTCACCAAACACAAGTGTAACAAAAAAAATAAATAAAAAATGTTTAATAGATGCATACTTTTGTTTCTTTTGTCCTATAAAGCAAATTACATAGATAGTTTTCTTCAAAAAACGACGTAATAACAACCTATACATATTTACAATTTTTACCATTTACCTTATGGCTCCTGGATATATATTAGACGAGGCAAATATTTGTGCAACAAGGCTTAGATTGATTGCATAAAGGTACCATTTAAAAAAAGATGTATTACTAGTAGATGCTGCAGCCGATTTACTCCTACTTACATCTATCCTTGATTAAGAATCAAAATGCAGATGCATTGTCTGTCACCTATATATACTCAGATGGATAGCCACATTAACAGAGGTGTCCAGGGGCTGCAGTGCTTTTGGCTCTAGTTACTAATATCTTATAAAAAATTTGACTCACGGTTACCCAGAGCCTGGGCAGTGATCTATGATACATATGCAAATTCAAGTTCAATATCGATTCACAATAGTTGCCCGCATTACTGCAATTGTTAATTACAATTTAATGTGGTGAATATTTATTATGAAAACTTTTCCTTACCCTATATTACTAGTCTGATTGCCTCTTTAATCCAATATTCCTCTAAATGAGAGCAGACCTGAGTTCAGCAGTGGTGCTTATATAGATACAGTTGTAGCTGTCTGGTAGTGGTATAAGGTAATGCATTCTTGGATTTTGTCTCATAGCTCTCATAGGCGATTGTGGAATATCCCTTTCAGACCCGTGGCGTGACGGCGCTACCTAACGAATATTACAGAGCTGATTTAGGGCAAGTAACATGCGTACATTACAAAGATGGGGTCTTAAAAAATCTAGGAAAATGGGAAAACTGTTTTCCACGATACTCACGATCGTACTACGTCGGGCCCAACTAGAGCTACCCTCACAATCGGAGGGTAATAACAATATTCAAATAAAATTAAAAATTAGGAATAATTATTTATTTTATAATCAAAATTAACTTAATTTCTTATTGTTAATAAGTAACAAAAATATAACGCTTCTTTTAACCTATATTTTTGGCGTAATTAGATATAATAAAAAATTAAGAACTAGGAACAAGGCAAACAATCGAGATCATCAGTTTATAATTACTAGAAGGAATAGACATGAGAAAAATATTTAAAAAGAAATTTTTTCATTATGGAAAAGATATTATATAGAAAACATAACATAGAAACAATGCTTATCTTTAGTACTACAAAGATATACATTGCATTTTGTGCACCTTACTTTTGAACAGCTTGTACAACCTGTCACTCTGCAACAGAGAGGAGCTTTTAGAGAATCACGTACGTCTCAATAGTTATACCCATCGAGACGTTTATCTATAGTTGGAATAGGTGCGGGTTGATAATGGGATGTTGAAGGCATCTCTGTCATTTCTTCGAATTCTTGTCGGGTGGGTTTTTTGGTTGAACCGCCAACCACCAATCAGGCACATATTTTAAAGTTCTGAAAATCCATGATATTAGAGTTCTAAACTTTATTTCTGTCACATAATTGGCGATACTCATACCAAGAGTTCACCATGGCCAACTCAAACAAATGCATTATTAACTTGATTGGCCATTTGCGCGTTTTATGCCATGATCTGTAGAACTCCATCATTTGGTCGCTGACGTTTAGACCTCCCATGTGTTCGTTGTATTTTTTATCATATCAGGGCAAGTTACTTCGATGTATGATTTTGTAATTATATCATAACGTTGGACCTTATGCAATGGCTGGGCTCCAATGGCAGTTGAAGTAGTTAATACTAATAACTCGTAAATTTCTTCAGTAAAGTACCTATCAAAGTATTCACTTGGAGTAAGTACCTCTTCGGTCGACTCCGAGATCAGTGTAGGCATGGGTTTCCCGAAGAATCGTCTGCGAGTCCATTTATTCGACAATGATAGACTTGCTACTGTTGAATCTCTTGCTTCTTGCTCGTCTTCGTCATCCGAGCTAGAACTAGGTAGCTCACCAGGTGGATGCCAATCATTATCATCGTCGAAGTCCTCGCCCAAATCCCAGTCAGCCAGTTGATCCATTATAGTACCAGAGTCAAAAGCCTAGCTATTTCTATTCATAACGATGTATCCAATAGGCTAAAAAGTAAAAAAGAGGGGTTTAAAATAATTGGTATTAAATAATCACTAATCTGACCAACGTTGGGCCCGAACCCTCACGATTGTGACATCTAAAAGTAACCTCGAAAAAGACAAACTAAATACGCGAAAGGACGAATAAAAACATAATTTATCGAGAATTTAGCTTTTTTCAAAGGAAGGATTGCAATTACAATATAGTTTTTACTTACCTTTAAGTGACGATCAAGTATGTTTAATTTTGGCGCGTAACACGTGATTTTTGCTAGGTGGCGAACGGCGCCTGAGTCAAAATTATTGTAATTAATTCCACTGCTCTTTGTCATAGTAAACCGAACTACACGCACGATCGTGCGACGCTGTCCCCGTTCGCTCACGGCGATTGTTTAATTTTATAAAAATTGACAAAGTCACCGTCATAATTGTGAGTACTGGGACCGAAAGGGATATGGCAAAACTATTTCATGAGCTAGCTAGGTAAGAGGTACAAACATTGCATACTATATAAAATGTAATTTACTGTACCAACGGAGGTACTGCCTGGCACAGACCTACCTTTCTTACAAATGTTTTTGAGCATGTGTCTAACACATAACCTTGTTGCATGTCAATGGTCTTCACGTGGTTCACTGGTTTTTTCACAGGCATATGTGAAAATTGAAGGTACCAAGCTACACATGAAAATAGGTATCCCTTTAGCTATTACAGATCTTATTTCATCTCATATATGCCAAATGTAAATTACTAAGACAGTCAACAAGAGCAGTAACAAAGGTTATAAACGGTTTCTTACTGTGAATGAAGATGTATCCGTAGTGAGTGTAGTTTAGCATGTTACTTCCACATTCGAATTTTCTCCTGCATTGTGGGGTTTACATACATAAATTTCACAAGAACACATCCAGACCCAGAACAATAACAGGACATACAAATACTTGTTCTGCGCAGGATTCAAA